AACCTGTAAAAATAATTTGTATAAGTCTAATTGCAACCATTTAAAATCTGAAAGAAGTGGATAACTCTCTTGATTTATGAGAGGGGATTTGCTCAACATTGACCAAATATCAAATGGCTTTAGAATAAAGTTCCCTGAAATTCAAAGAATCAGACAGTTCTCATGTGACATAATTACATAGCTGTGTAGTGGTAGACTTTTCTTTATGTGTGTGAATTTAGAAAACGATTGCTTATGCATTTTGTCTAACTTGGGGGTGGCCCAGAAGGCTTTGCTGCTGTAACTCACTGCTTCTGTGGTGCCGTGATTTCATGGTGGAGACAGTAGGGCCTGCGGTGAGCCTTCGCTGGGAGGGAAGCGTCAGGATTCACTGCGTAGGTAAGAGTAGAAGATGCATCCTCAGAACCTACCCCTGAGCCTTCTGGACTTTGATTCTCCGGTAGCAGCCTGTGTTATCTCAACAACTCGCTGCACCACTCGTTCACCGTCCCTTCTGTGCCGGGCCACTCTCTAGAGATAAGCTTGAGCGTAGGGACTCTGTATTATTCTTCTTTATAACAATCACAACTTACCATGCCTACCACCAACAGATCCTCAGTACCTGTTCATTGATTTTTTTTCTTTTTTAGACTGGGTCTCACTGTGTACTTTGGGCTGGCTTTGAACTCACAGCGGGCCTCCTGAGAGCTGGGGTTGCAGGTGTACTTCAGCATGCCCAGCTAGTACGTGTTCATTGAGTGAAGGAACAAATGGGTGAATGAGTGAGTGAACGGAAAGGGACTTCAGTTTATGGAACCAGTAGAAACTTAGACACTAAAATAGAACTAAAAAGAAAACCGTATCACTTAGGCATATGCAGAATCCTAAAGCGATTTCATCAGACCAACTGCTACAGAACATTCAAACAATCGCCCAGGATGACCAGGATGGTTTATCCTGAGCCGACAAGGGTGGTTTTCTATCATGAGAGCTGTTGTTGGCATGGTGGAGACAAAGTGTTACAGTTGACTTGTTTCTAGGATTTATTTTTCTAAAGAGTTTGGATTGTGCTAAGGATCAGTCCTGTGTGGCCTCACCCACGCAAGCCAAGTGCTCTACCGCTGAGAGACAGCCCGACACCCCATGCTCTAAGTGCATCTTCTGGAATGCTCATTCAACAGGTGGGAAAAAGGGCCCTTGCTGGGCAGCCACCAGGACCAGCTGCTCGCGGGCAGCCCACACTCCGATCACAGTCAGCACCAGCAGAGCAAGGTCTCAGGCCATTTTCCAGACCGCTGTTTTTCTAGGCTCAAGGTCCCTTCTGTGAGCAGCCTTCCAGAGCCAGCCCCCTTCCACGTCTGCCCCTGTTCTCCTCCTCCTCTTCCCATCGTTCTGACACCTTCCATTCAAGCATTTGTGGAAAGAGGCCTACTGAAGTGCTGTGGGATCGCCAGCATTTTCTCCTTACGTGTTATGGCTGTTGCTTACACCATAGTTTTATTGATTTGTTTCACTGACTGAAGTTTTTCTTAAGGAAGTTTTAAAAAGACATTTGTCCTAAAAAAAAAAAAAATTCTGTGGAGATGGCAGCTTAGAGTCCCGACTGTGTAACTTCTATTCTGGGAGTTGCTTGCTGATGAGTACAGACTCGCGTGGAAGTTCAGGCCCTGGCTTTTCATTTTGATAAAAAGGAGGTGGTCTAGTTGGCCTCTTCTCCTTCCTAGAAGAATTGCAATCAATTTGTGTTTAAAATTTAAAGTTTTCTTACAATAAGAGACGTATTGTCATTGATCCTGTCAAAGCACTCCTCCCTGGTTCAGATATACTTATCCTGTCATTCTTCCTACGTTCTAAAGCAGTTTCGGGGGTTTGCTTTTGCGAATGTCTTTACAAGGTGCGATCAAAATGTGGTGGGTGCGATCGCGGAGGGCGCCCTGGGAAGCAGGACCGCGGAGGGCGCCCTGGGAAGTGGGCCTGTGGAGGGCACCCCGAAAAGCAGGTCTGCAGAGACGTGGCGGTGCCTTCTCACCCACCCTGTTCATCGAACCTGGCATAGTGTGGCTTCCAGCTCTTCCCCCAAATCAAGATGACCATGAAAGGTCAACATTTTGATTTGATTTAGGACATAGAGCAAACCATGACAGCACAAGGAAAGACTCTTAGGACAGCGAGATTTTAGAACTGCTTCAAAAAGCGGCAAGAATGGTGGGTTGAGTGTGTTTGCAGCGAGGGGAAGGGCTTGGAGGAGGACTCGTGGCAACGTGTCTTTTACTGTAATAAATTTTAAAAACTGCTTAACTTCATCTTAATTTTCTGGAAGACAAAATAGGTAAAACTCCTGAAGATCTAGGCGTAGACAAGCATTTTCTGAACAGAATGTCAATGGCACAAGAAATAATGCTGAGAATCAATAAATTAAAAAGCTTCTGCAGGGCAAAAGAAATGACCAACAGAGTGAAGAGACAGCTTACAGAATGGGAAAAAATGTTTGCCAGCTATTTCTCAGATGGAAGCCTAACATCGAGAATATATAATGAACTCAAGAAAATTAGATGCCCCCAGAATGGAAAAAATCCAATAAATAAATAGGCAACTGAAATAGACACTTCTTAGGAGAAGTACAAATGACCAGTAAGTACATGAAAAAAGTTCAACATTGCTGGCCATTAGACAAAAATAAATTAACACAGCACTGATGTGGTGATGCATGTCTGTAACCCCAGCACTTGGGAGGCCGAGGCAGGAGGACTGCTGGGGGCTGAGGCCAGCCGGGCCACATAGTGTGGTCAGGAGCCGCCTGGACTACCTAGTGAGACAACAAAACAAAATGTGACAAAAACAAAAACAGCACCGAGACTTCATTTTACCCCAGAAAGAGTGGCTATTCTCAAGAAATCAAATAATTTATTTCACTTATGAGTATGGTCTCTAGTTGCATCTATTGACCTATAAAAGCCTTATGTTTATCATTATAGTTGAATAATACTCCATTGTATAAAAATGCCACATCCTTTTTATCCATTATGGGCATTTGGGTTGTTTCCATGATTTAGCTGTAACAGACTGCAGTGCTATAAACATGGGTGCGCATATATCACTGTGGTATGATGATTTCAGTTCTTCTAGGAAAATGCCCAGGCGGGGACAGCTGGGTTGAACGGGGCCTCTGTGTGGAAACATCATGTTGTCTCCCTAGTGTGAGAACCAAAAAGAGTAATTAAAATCCAAAAGGAACAGCAGATACTATGAAAGGGAAAGAAACTGTTCAAAGTGAAGGAACAGCTGGGATGAGGGAAAGGAGAAAAGAAAGAAGGGAAAAAGAAATACACGTGCATCCGCACAGGATGACTTGGGTAGCTGCACCGCTGATTTCTGTTGGCCTGTTGAAAGGAGCAGTTAGTGTGTAAGCTGTTTTTTCTTCTTAATTTTTGTGGGCAATTTTGCAGGCTTATATCTGGTAGTCTGAACAACTGAGTTGAAGACAACAATATGCATATAATAACATTGCTGAATTTCTATCATTTTGTTTAGTGAAATTCTGTACCCTTTCGAATTTCTTTTTTACTATATTTTATTTTCCTTAAAAATAAGAAATCACCAGCCCCACCCCCGGGGTGCACTGAGACAGCAATTGAGACTGGGCATGGTGGCGGGTGCCTGTAATCCCAGCTCTTGGGAGGCTATAAATAGGCAGATCACTGTGAGTCTGATCTAGTAGTGAGATCCTGGACACCCTGCACACCCCTCCCTGAAATACAAAAAAAAAAAAAAAAAAAGAAAGAAAAGAAAAAGAAAAAACAAGTAATAACAAAACATGGCCAGGGTGAGGGGAAAAAAAAAGCCTTCTACTTTGTTGGTGGGAATATATAAATGAATACAACCCTTATTGAAATCAGTATGGAGATTCCTCAAAAAATGAAAAAAAAAAATCCCATTTGACCCAACTACTTCCCTTCCAGGATCTCCCCCAAATAGTTGAAGCCATCATATTACAGGGACATGTTTATACCCATGTTTGTAGCAGCACAATTTGTGCTTGCTTTGGCAGTACATTTGCTATATAGCAGCGCAATTTCTAATGGCTAAATCTTGGAAACAGCCCATATGTCCATCCATAGATGAATGGATAAAGAAAATGTGTGTTTATACACAATGGAGTACTATTCTGCTGTAAAGAAGGATAGACTTGAGGCATTTGTAGCTAAATGGATGTGTCCTAAGGCCATAATTTTAAGTGAAATAAATCAGAGACCTAAGGTTAAATATTATATGACTTCTTTTATATGAGAACCCCGAATGTATAAATAGTGAAATAAAAGCAGGGAGGGACAGGAGGTGTAAAGGACAAAGCCAAGCATTGAGATGCACTCTGCACACATACCAACTCCTCACAATAAATGTAATCCTTGCGTACTGCCAACGTGAGCTAATGAATATTTGAAAAAGATAAAACATAGGACCCGCAAATCAGTTACATATTCACTGTATTTTTTAGCCACACCACACAGATTGATTGCATTTTTATGAGTTCTTTGCCATCCCCTGACACTGTGATGCTGACGAGAAGATGGTGTGATGGGGGCCACTGCCCAGGGCCACTTCTGTTTCTCATGGTCAGCTTGATGAAGCAGCCAGCGTCGTCACAGTTCATGTCACTTTCTTGGTGCCTCAGGCGTTATGTTAAGATCCATTTAAGGGTGTGGGGTTTTGGGGGTGGCAGGGTCAGGAGCGGCTTCCACAGTGGGAGGAATCTTTCTGTTTCATGAGGAATCTCATGATCACAAAATAAGCAGGTGAAGTCTGCACGGCTGAGCAGAGCAGTGGCTGAGGGAACATGCTACTTGCGTCTTGTCAGCTCTGCTGAGTTCCTGGGTCATGCTTTGGTGATCATAGTTGTGGTGAGGTTATCTGACCGCGGGTATCTCAGCAGCCACCCCCGGATGAAAGCCCTCTTTGTCCTGGCCTGTGTGTGCAGAGAGCTGGGCTGTCTAACCACATCTAGATCCTTCTCGCTTCTCCAGCTCCTTGCGAACATGGAAGATATAAAAGTCCGTGAAATGCAGATTTTTCACTACAAGAAAAAAATAGCTGAATCGGAGACTAAATTGAAGCATCAGCAGAACCTGTACGAAGCTGTGAGGTCCGACAGGAATCTGTGCAGCAAGAACCTGGTGGAGGCGCAGGTGAGCAGCGCAGTCCTTACACCTGGGTCCTCTCGGCCTGGTGAAGGCACAGGTGAGCAGCGCAGTCCTTA